ACAAGATAAACATGTTACAAAAACATTACCCCAAATGTACATACATAATTCAAAACAACATAACAAAAAATACACATTCCAGCTATTACTTCAATATTGTGACATTACATTCACAATTATTGATACTGAGTCATATAATTATTTAACACCTTATTTTTATACATTTTCTTGAATTTGCAGAGTGAATTACATCATTTTAATTCCTTATCACAAGTATTCCATAGATTTACCCCTTTAACAGATAAACACCTACTTTTTGCATTAGTTCTTGCCCTTACTTTTTTAAACATATACAATCCTCTTAGATTATACTGACTTTCTCTTATTTTGAACAGCCTCTGAATACAATTTGGAAGTAAATTATTATAAACTTTGAACATTATCTGTGATGTACATAAATCAACTAAATCGACAAATTTTAAAGCACGTAAATTAATAAACAATTTGTTTGTTGGTTCGTAATAATCAACCCTTTTAACAATCCTAATTGCTTTCTTTTGTAAAATATATATTGAATTTATATTGGTTTTATAAGTATGACCCCACACCTCCACACAATAAGTAATGTATGGAACTATGAGCGCACAATACAATATATATAACGTTTTTTCATTCAAAATATGTTTTATTCTATTTAATATTGCAATGGATTTGGACATTTTTGTTTTTACATGGTTAATGTGTGGTTTCCAACATAATTTATGATCAATTATAACACCCAAAAATTTATTTTCATACACTCTTTCTATTTCCTCATTGTTAATCCTTAATTTAATTTTATTGTTACTTTGTCGATTACTAAATATTATAAATTTAGCTTTACTTAAATTCAGTGAAAGTCTATTATCATCAAACTACAGAACGCTAGATATAGCGAAAGATAGACAGACAGAGAGACAGACAGACAGACATACAGACAGACAGACAGGCAGACAGGCAGACCAGTGATAGATAGACAGACAGACAGACAATAGATAAGATAGATAGATAGATAGATAGATAGATAGATAGATAGATAGATAGATAGATAGATCTCTTGTGGTACGTCTCTTGTGGTGTAGTTCTTGTCATGTTTATGTTCTTCAGCTCTGTTGTGTTTTGACTGTGTGCCAACAGCAGCAGCAGTCGTTCTCACACCCAAACACTGACTGTAAATCAGAGCTTTAACACAATCGATTGTGCTATTGTGCATCTCGCCCTCCTGAACTCCGATATCAGCAGAGCAATGTAAGAGAAACTGTCCATGATGCAGAAACCACTAAGCTCTCCATTGTGCCTCTTTTGTGGGCAAAACCTTGCGATAACACCTCAGAGCGTATAGGCCACATATATCAGACAGTCCGGATTATTCCCTCCGGTTGCTCTCTCTCTCTCTTTCTCGCTCTCACTCCACTGGATTGTTGCTCCGGATCCAGGCAGGGAACGATGTCACAATATTCAGGGAAGGTGAGTAATATATTTCAGGGTATATTGTCTGTCGTTTGCTGACACAGTTTCATGTATATACTGTACTTTTGTAATATGTAATAGATATTTGTATACTTATGCAATCATACATAATTATAAATTTTTTGCATAATTTGCTATTTGCACAAATGTAGTTTGTAGTTTTGCATGTACACTTACATGCCTACAATACCAGTATATGCATCTCATGCACCCAAATTAATGCACTCTTAAATGAATGCATATATTTACATTATCTCAGTGCACACATTCGGTGCTGCAGAACTCAACAATAAGTACACATTTTTACCTGTTCTGTCAATATTTTCACTGTCCTCTACTAAAAAAAATTATAATAACAAATTAAATAAAATATATAAAATAAAGTTAAATAATAAATGGCTATTTTTATGAAGAAATATGGATCTAATTTCTTTACAAAAAAATACAACAATATAAGTTATATAAATATATATAATAACCCCAATTTTGCATGGAACATTATTATATTATTTTATGATTTTCAGCCCATTCTAACTGATGCTTCCCTGATTATCACAAATTATTTTTGCAATTTCAACTAAGCCTCAGCTTTGTAGCCTGCTAGATAACTTTACCATGGTGGGGGGAAAAAGCTGAATTTAACAACAAAAATGTTTAATAGGCAAACTTCAATGCATAAAAATGCATGTGCATAACCAACAAATGAAAGACTTTACATTTTATGAAACATAATTTATTGTTGAGCCTGGCGATGTCAACTGGCAGCTGTTTATTTTTGGACTCATGTTTCCAAATTTACTCTTAGGAATCAAACTGTGATCTTGATTATGATCTTGTGTTTACCTTTCAAATATGACCAAATGTAGATAATATTTGACTGACAGTTTTTACTGTGGCAAACTGCCCTATTTTTCTCTAATGTGTTTGAAAGTTATTCTTCTTTTTTTAAGATTGGCATTTCATAACTAATTATTCAGAAGTAAAACTATAAGATGATTCATGCAGTTGCCCAAACAAGCTTTTCTAACTTACATTTGCTCCATTTGTTCTGCTGGTTTAATGCCAAGATGGAATAAGAAACTTCACAAGATGGAAAGTGTTCACAGCGTGATGCTGATTAATGAGTCTCACACTGTGAACTCATGTAGTTTCATTTTCACAGAGTCTGTTACACCACCGGTGACTGTAGTTAAATGAAAAACCTTTAATAAATCAAGAGTTTTCCCTTTGATCGTCACTAAATCAAGCCTCCGTCTTCTTCCAGATAGTGTTCTATGAGGGGAAGTGCTTCACAGGCCAGAGGCTGGAGGTGTTTGGAGACTGTGAAAACTTCCAGGACCGTGGTTTCATGAACAGGGTGAACTCTATCCGCGTGGAGAGCGGGGCCTGGGTGTGTTTCGACCATCCCGATTTCAAGGGACAGCAGTACATTATGGAAAAAGGAGAGTATCCCGATTTCCAACGTTGGAATGCCCACAATGATCATATGGGCTCCAGCAAGCCAATCAAAATGGTGAGGATGAAAACACTTTATGAAAAGATATGTCTTTTCATGCCATGCTCACACACACACACACACACACACACGCACATACTCTCACACACACACACACACACATACCCACACACTCACACGCACGACATGATCATATCATGCCAACTTAAATTAAATGTGAAATGTGAAATGTGAAATTTTGAAGTGGAAAGACTGCAAAAGTTTTATTCCCCCTGTAAAACATACTCCAATAATCTTTGTTTTATTTACAACTCTAAAAAAATCCAAGTTGCAACATGCCTCATTTTCATTTACTGTACTGTCGTTTAACTGTAGTTTAACTCAACCTAAAACTGAAATAAAAATTTAAAAATAAATAGAATTTTAAAATACATAAAAAGTAAAAACATATATTTAACAAATAACAAAAATTATAAAAAGCACATTAAAATTACTAGAACTAACTAAAAAATAAACATACCAATAAAAACTAATTCAAAATATTAATAAAAACTATAAAAGTATCTCAATACTAAAATAACATTGTGCATTATACTAATCACTGTACTCCACTCTATTCAAAGAGTATTCAAAGAAAATCTGCATTCTGCAAACAATATATGCTATTGTAGTATGCAAGTATTTCATGCTGTCAAGGGCCAAACTTTTGACCTCTGAAATTTCTGTCTTGACTGTATGATTTTTTTCAAATGTGACACTCAATGTGCTTGTCTGTGTCTGTTAGCACGGGGAGCACTACAGGATGGAGCTTTTTGAGGGCCAAAACTTCACTGGTCAGTGTGTTGAACTGTGTGACGACTGTGCCTTCCTTCAGAGCTCCGGATTCAGCAAGAACGGCCTCAACTCCATTAAAGTATATGGAGACGGAGCGTAAGTTCTGCATGGCCAAACATCAAACAATGTTTTACTAGGCAATCAAAGACTGAAAAGCATAAAATATTCCAAGGTCCCATAGAGCTTGAATAATTACACAAAAAAATGCTCAGAATAAGATGATGCTGTTTAACCTCAACTTCAGCAAAATTGTAGATCGTTTAAAGCAATTACTTAAGCTCTAAGATTGCATTGCATTATTTGCATCAAGTTATATGTATGCAATATTAAAAGTATGCATTTAAAGGAGACAAATTATGCCCCTTTTTACAATATGTAATATAAGTCTCTGGTGTCCCCATAATGTGTCGGTGAAGTTTCAGCTCAAAATACTCCACAGATCATTTATAATATCATTTTGAAAATGCCTATTTTGAGTGGAAGCAGAAACACGCTGTTTTTCGGGCCTGTCTCTTTAAATGCAAATGAGCTGCTGCTCCCCGCCCCCTTTTCCAGAATAGAGCTGCACCATTACAGTTCATACCTGCTAAAAACATCTGTTTTGGTTCTGATTATGATGTTTATCGCGCTGAAATCATGCGTTTTAAACCATATTAGTTTAAACATCTAATATACGGTTTTCTGAGCGCACACATCCGAAGCACACGGACAGAAAGCAGCTGTCACAGCATGTGAGTACTAAACTAAGTTCTCATCCCCACACAAGTTTACGTTAAAAACACACGAGTTACAAAAACAGTTGGTTATGTCTGTGAAGGTAGTAGTAAGTTGCATGTTTATTTTAGATCTGTGTGGCAGCAGCAATATACAGTAAATACATCAATAAATCCACTGCTCTCGTCTCCTCTGAGGCTGGGACTCTAAATAGTGTTTGTGCTCGTCTGTGCAGCCAAAGACAGAAGTTAGCAAGTTTTGCTCAAACTTTCGCCATGGCGTTAAAACTGGTGCACCGTTGTCACTTGCGAAATCAATCGAAGGAGCCGTGGGTGTAAACTTACAGATTAAGGGGCGGTAATATTATAATGAGATCCCTTTGCCACGTCACCAAGGGAGCGAAATCAGAG